GGGGGGGGTGTTCATGAAAAAGTTTTAACTGCTGTTACGACAGCCTGTAACCTGATAAAAGTCAAAGCATGACTGGCTGGGTTTTTGATACCTTTGTAATGAGAAGAGATGTTGCAACTGCTGCCGCCGCTGTATTCAGAGAATGGTGTTCTGTTTCAGTAAGAAACCATCTGTCTCTGTGATGCCTTGCCTGGGAAGGGGAATCTGCTCCAAGGAGATCATTTAAATTAAAGAAAACTCCTGTGCTTGTACAGGCGTATGTGTTGCCAGTCATTCTGACACATGCTACAGCCTAGTTTATCAGACACGTTGAGAGCATCTGATGAAGTAGGCTGTCGCCTATGAAAGCCTAAGCTTTTCTGAGTGCATCTTCAAAGCACCACACTGCCCTGCTTTTTATCTGACTTCAGGCAGCTGACCTGGTTACATGGCTAGGTCCCTCTCTTGGAATGTGTTAGACATCTAAATGCCAATTTGAGGATTTGGCCCTTGAACAGTGCTGCTTCTCCAAAACTCCCTAAGCAGGTGAAGTCCTTGCTTCTGAAAAGAGAGGATGATTTATTAAAACAAAACAAAAAATCTTGAGATACTTTCTATTTTAAAGTCTATGATAATTTTGAGGGATGTGTTGGGGAGGGAAATGCCTCCATTCAAAAATTGTCCAAAAGTTGGAAACTTGGAATAAATATGTCACTAACACTACCCAGTACTTGCAGTGTTCCAGTTTCTTGCTTTGACACAAGCTGATTAAAAACCCTGTTTAATTGTAACAGGACTCTCTGTACTGAATACAGCATTTCCAAATTAATTTTTATTAACGATCGCAGTGGCTTCTGGCTCTATGCCCACCTTCACGTTGCTAGTTCTTGGGGTAGTTTGTGATGAAGTTGTATGGTTTGCTCCACCAAATAATTGTTCAGGAATAAAAAGCCAACACTTGACTGTTACATGGTGTACAGAACTCAGCTGGCTACTAAACTGTGGGATTGTTAGTGATTCTCATGTTAACTAAATAAAATACATAATTACTGTGTCACTTGTTCTTTCTCCATGTAGCCCCAATCGAAAAATATCAAGCACAGCTTTTGGAAGGTAAGAAATTGCATCTGCCTCCTTCTGGCTTTATTTTAGTCCCTTTTTAAAATCAACTCCTAACAAAAGTTTATGTAGGTGGCACAGATTTAGGAAGGGTGTTTCTCTGGCATCAAGGAAACTAAATATGGTGCATAAACAGAAGTGAGGAGCAGTTGTGTGTTTGGTACTGGAAATGGTTACATCAGAAGAATTGCATTTTTTTTCCCCTCTGATTTGCTTAGCAATTAGGAAGGAACCTTTTATGTTTTTTGTGAGTAGAAGGGGTAAGGAAGGAGATAAACTTAAAGCTTAATGAGATACTTGGTTAACTTGGCTAACGTCAGTCAGATAGCATCACAGCAAAATAGGGCTGGAAAAGACTGGAGGTCATCATCCATTCCAATTCCCTGCTCAGGGTAGGTGCATCCCTGTGTAATGCATCCCAGATAAAGATTTGTCTAACCTACAATTAAACTTTCAGTGAGAGAGGTTTCACAACTTCCGTGGGTGATCTGTTCCAGTATTTAACTACCCTTGGATAGAAACACCCAGTGTCCTGCTTTCTGGACTTTTGTAAGTAGTCCTTTTGGGCACCCTGCAGTTGGATGTAGTTGTTGGCAATGGGGATCTAGTTCTGTAAGGTAGGAAGAGCCCATTGGCTAAAGAGTTGATGGGATTTGAGGGTATTCAGGGGTGTGAGAGAGCTTAATAGAAATAAACCAGCTAAGCTAACCACTGGGTATTCTTGGGTGGGTTTCCCAGCCACTCCCTTCTTCAACTAAAGAAACCTGTGCTGCTTGTCTTGCAAAATTGTTGAGCTTCGAGGTTAACTCTGCCACCAAGCATCTTGTAGGTCTTGTATGAACATGAACACACTGTAGCACCTAATTTAAATAAGAATAAACAGTATTTTAAAGTATGTTAACTGGTTGTGGTGAGCCCTGTCTAAGGCTACTAGCAACAAACTCTGACATCTGAAATACATTTATTTTTGTGGTGTCTGAAGTAGTAGAATTTAAACCTGTTAGTGTAGGATTGAAAAGTCAATTGTACATGTATCCTTAAGCAGTTGTAAGTTGTCCAGATATTTGCACCTTGAACCTCCCATGATAAACTGCTCTAAAATATCATGGATTCCTACAAAATATCATATCAATCCCTGCCCCCTTTATCTTCCAGACAACTCTTCCACAACAGTAACTTCAGCAGCAGTAATGGCAGCACAGAAGACTTATTCAGAGATAGCATAGACTCTTGTGATAACGATATCACTGAAAAGGTGAGGAGCCTTTATCATGATTAATAGATGTAATAGAGCGTTTGTTGGTTACACGTGTCTGCTTGAATGAGCCACCTAGAGTGGCTGGTGATCTCTATCAGGATCTCTGAATATCCCACAGTTAATGCTCACTTCCTTTCCCAAAAGAATCAGAAGAGCCTAACCTAATGTAGGAGCTAAGGAACTGATGGGAATGCTGTGCATTTTAGCATGATTAATATATCAGTCTTTCAGTCATCAAGAAAATGAAATAAATCAGGTTTGTATTAATTAATTAATTAAGCAAGGCCTCTTGAGGCTTAAATTTCCTATTTACAGCTACTGCTACTTGTTTTTGTCGAGGGGGTGGTCATTATTTCATTGTATGTACTATAAAATCAAAGTGTGCGGAAGCTTAAGGCCAAAATGTTCAAAGCAGATTTAAGTTCCCTCATTTTGGGGGGTGCTTGACTTAACACTAAATGTCAAGTAGCCAAGCGCTTGCAAGTCTGAAGTTGGGCCCAGGTTTCTCAGGTTGGGCATCTAAAACTAGAGAGCACTCACTGCTGGCTCCTGTGACTTTGCCTTGCTGCAGCATCTTGCAGTTGCAGAACAGAGTGGAGAGGCTGAGGTTTTTCCTTCTGGCCTGGTGCCCTGGCCCGCTGGGTTGTATCCCCTGTCTGGAAGGCTAGTACTAGAAGACCCTTTCAGGGAAGTCCTGGCAGAGCACCTTTTGTACCTGGCTAAAATGTCCTTTTTAAAATTACAGGAAAGTGTGCAATTGACCCAAACCCTTATTCCTTTCTAGGTAACATATTTAGAAAAGAAGGTGACGGAACTGGAGAACGACAGCATGACAAATGGAGACCTGAAGAGCAAACTGAAGCAGGAGAACACACAGCTGGTTCACAGGTAATCAAACGTGCAGCCTGCTTCCCCTGTGCTGCCTGACTGCAATACCTCCGTGGCCAGAGCTGTAAGGAGGCGAGCAGCAAAACGGAAAATCTAATATTGTGTCCCAGTTGCTGAACTGTTTAAAAAAAAAAGAAAAAAAAGTGCGAACTTCTGATTGAATCGTCTTCATGTCACTGAGCCAGCGCCCTCACACCTCTGACTCTGGGGTCTTGCTGAATATGTAGTGAGCAAAGACTCCTGACCACAGTTAGTAAGGCAGTGGGGTGCTGCTGCCGAGCAAGGTCTGACTGACTTGTCTCCAGGCCTGTAAAGATGAAACCATGGCATGTGGTTTTGAAGAGGATTCTTTAGAGCTTTTGTAAGTGACATATAGGGGAGGACTTAAAGGTGATCTTGGAAGTGGAATTTACTCCCTTTCATACAACATTGACAAATAGCATAATAATAGAAACTAATGCTGCTTAACTTTATGACTCTGGGAAAGGAGAAAAACAAGGGAAGTGGCGAGTTCAGTAAAAAGAGGGGCGAAGGTGCTTTGACGTATCTCCGGGTGTCGGAGCATTCATGAAACTGTTACCAAAATAATGTTGGCTTCCCTAGAGTTCATGAACTGGAAGAGCTGTTGAAAGACCAGGAGACATCAGCAGAACAAACCCTGGAGGAAGAGGTGAAGAGGCATAGAGAAGCATACAGCAAATACGAAAAAGAGAAAGGCACTGAAATTGAGCTGCTGAACACAAGGTAATGCACTCGCTGGCTTCACTAGTGTCATTCAGCAATACATGTTGTCTGGATTCGTGCAGAAAACGGTGACTCTGTCCCTCACTCTTGTAGTTGGATTTTCTTCCACACTTGGTGCACAAGCCTCGATGGTGGGTTGTCGCCTTGGCGCAGGTGGTTATGTGGGTTAGATACTTGGAGTTATGTAACACCCAAGAGCAGGCCTGGTGGTTTGTGTTAGAAGGATCCATGCCTGGAACTTGCTCTCTAATCTTCCTAGCTGGCTGCTGTGCACAGACTCCTATACCCATGCAGAGCCCTGCTGGCAGATATCCATACCCCAAAAGGCTAAGATATACACCTAGCTTGTCCTCCAAACTGAGCTCTATTGCCATTTGTCCCCACACAACTTGCATTGTGACAACATGTATATGGTGTAATAATGAACATACGGTGTGAATGTATGTCCCTAAATGACTGCCTGGGCACCTAGCATCATTAGGATCAAACAGGAAAGAAGCTAGATAACTTCCAGCTACTGGTGTTGCAGGCTCACAGCTGCAGTGAGCTGCCAAAGCATCCACCCAGACATTCAGCCAAGAGCCTTGTGCCGTGCTGTGAAGGGTACCAAGCTGTGGCTCTGACTTGCACTGAAGGAGCAAACTCTCTATGCTAGAGCCTCTGTAGGCCTAGAGAAATGCCTAGAGAGTAACTGGACTCTAACGTTGCCTGTATATGGATCCAAGGTGTGTCCATTGTGTTCCCATATGCAGCCAGAACTGGAAGGCTGTTGGCCTGGGCGACACTGGCAAAACATGTGCAGAAAATGTATTAGAATGCTGTTAGAGTGTGTGTGTGTGTGTGTGTGTGTGTGTGTGTGTGTGTGTGTGTGTGTGTGTGTGTGTGTGTGTGTGTTTCCCCACACAAGTAAGTTTTTGGGAGTTTACTAAGTCTGGTGATCAATTGCAT